TTATGTTGAGCAAAGTGTAAAAATCATAAGTTCTAATATTTGAATGTGTTTCCATGTTAGTTTATCATTATGAACTGAAACTAAGACATTCATATTAAATATTATTCATTCATTTTAGAACACGTATTATTTAACTATAAAAAGTATAGTTTGATAAATTCATAACACTAATACATTTCCATGAAAGAGATCATACATATTACATACATTTTAGATAAACTATAATAGGTATAGTTTATGATACATCACTCAACGCACTCGTACAAAAAGGGTACATCCATACAAGAAAGATTTATATTCACACACATTTCACGTAAACTTGTTAACCTATGTTGTGAGACTCTCTCTCTCCCCGTACGTCCGAGTGCGGGATATAATTCCTGGTAGTTATAATCAGAATCTCCTTGAGGGAGAACGTGATACTTGTATATAGATCTATATTGGGTTTGACACCCCACACCTTGCTGCTAGCTACAGTGGGACCTGCAGGTCTACGGGTGACAAATGTCATTTCATTTTCGCGACGCCTGAGAAACGTTGTGGCAGGTTCACATAGTCACAGTATGATTATAGCGACTCACTTAGGGGGATAACAATTCATGAAGTTTACGGGGTTTCATAAAACCGAAGTAGGTTTTAGGTTGATAAAAGAAATTTACTTTCCATAACATTTTAAACTCACAACATTTCTACTAAGAAACGATGATTTCTCATACATTCTAGTCTTTGGTTATAAGGCTACATTTTTCGGATTTCAAGGAAAATATCGGATTTTTCTGAAACAAACGCGACATTTACATGTGAAATACTTCTACTAAGTTTATTAATAAAAGCTTATGAACTCACCAACCTTTGTGTTGACACTTTTCAAACAACTTGTATTCACAGGAAAACACTAATCAGGTTATCAAGTGCTTTTGAGGATGGGACGTTAAGGCGTCAAACTTTTCATATTTTGACAACATATTGTAATTGATTTTGAAACAAGTAATTCATACAAGTGATGTAACTTTTTCAATTATATATATGTTGGTTGTGTTTGCTTAAATTACTATTAAAATTGTGGTTATGATGCTATACATGAAGTCCTCCACCCCCGGACGTTTCCGCCATCCTCGGTTTGGGGGTGTGACACTAGAGCTCATCAACTCATAAAGCCATCAACTTTGGTGGACAAAACCCTAAAACACTCCATATAAAAACACAAACAGAAGAGAAGGAAAGCTTGAAGCTTTTTACCTCCAAATGAAGCTTTTCCCACTACTAATCTCAGATCCAAAGGCTTGGGCTCTTACTCCTTCTCTTTAAAAGCTTCCACTTCACTTCAAATGTCCAAGAATACACCAACAAGCTCTCCAAGGCACTCTCTTGCTACAAGAATGAGATTTAGGGTTTTGGGAGGATAAGTCTCTAGAAATGCTAGCCAACAAAGAGGCCATAAGGTTCTTTAAATATGGGGCTCATTAAAGATTAGGGTTTCTTTCTGGGCCTAGTACGCCCCGCATACACCTTGGTACGCCCTGCGTACTAGGCGAGAATCCGCGACCAAACACGCGCACGAGTACGCTGAGCGTACACACCAGTACGCCCCGCGTACCCATCTACCACTCTTCCCTTTAACAAGGGCCAAATTGGACAAATGGTCAAAGACTAGGGTTCACAATGTATATTTGATTTTTTGATGTTACAGTTTCTAAAAAAAAAAAAACAAAGTAAAATCATTCCTTCATATATATATATATATATATATATATATATATATATATATATATATATATATATATATATATATATATATATATATATATATATATATATATATATATATATGTTACAGTTTCTAAAAAAAACAAAGTAAAATCATTCCTTTATATATATATATATATATATATATATATATATATATATATATATATATATATATATATTATACAGTTTCTAAAAAAAACAAAGTAAAATCATTCCTTCATATATATATATATATATATATATATATATATATATATATATATATATATATATATATATATATATATATATATATATATATATATATATATATATATATATATATATATATATATATATATCGTTAGAAGAAAAAGTAAAAATGAATATTAAATAACTTTATGCAAGTCTCATAGTTATCTGAGTTGTTGTTTTAACTTGTTTATTATAAAAAAAGCATCTAAAAATTATTATACAATTTAAACGAGAAAAACGTCAAAATTTTACATTAAATAATTTATTCAAATAAAATGTGAAACATATTAATGTATTTTTAAACCACAAAAATAGAGATAAATAAATAAATAAATAAAATGATCTTATATAATTTAGATAACAGATTTAAAAAAATTATAAATTATCTATATTAATTCTATTAAAATAAAGATTTAAAACAATTATATATATATATATATATATATATATATATATATATATAAAACAGTAATAATATAATAAATTGTTAAAAGAAAATGAAAAAAAGAAAAAAAATGATAATTTGATTTTTTATATGAAGCAAGGATCTACAGTTTGATATTCACAAACCTCAATGATGTAACTTATCAAATTTTAAAATATTGAAAATTTGACCAAACCTAATGAACAATTTTTGTAATTAACATTCGTCAATAATAATAATAAGAGTAAATTTAGTAAATTACACGAATGGTCTCTGTAGCTTGGATAATTTGCGTGTTTTATTATTATTATTATTATTATTATTATTATTATTATTATTATTATTGCTCATGTTATTTAGGATATTTGTCATATCTTATGATTTTTTTTTTTTGTTTATTCTCTCTACCATCACTGGTTTCTATCTTCCACCACTATCTATCCGAAAATTTCTTGTACCACCACAACCTACCCCATTATTGGCATGCTGCATCATGTGAACTATTATTCATCAGTCTGATATTGTTCAAACAATAAATATTCGATATCAAATCTCGAGATCTAAATCCTAAGATAATCGAGAATCACCTATTTCTTATGTCAAAAATCTCATTCTCTTCCTGAACAATTAAATCAAACTTGCAAATTGGGGAGCTATTGGAAAATCCGCACAAGATATTGAATAGAAGGATCTCTTAAATAACCCACTAACAAAAAAAAAAAATTTGGAGATATGACAGAAGAATGAAATTTATAGCTTTCTATCGACATTTTCGACATGGTTTCCACAAGTCTCCGGTGTTCTGTCTATTTGCGATCTGGACAATTTTATTCCTTTCAAACTCAAGTTCGTCAGTATTTCATGATAGGCACCCTTTACGGCCTATGAAATCTACCTTAATATCCCTATAAAATCGACATTGATCTACCATTGTAAAATCTCTCACCAATTCAATGCAATCCAATCAAATGTTGGTGGTGGCTTTAGCGTTGGAATCCTCCACCGATAACGACAATGGCTTAATCTAGGATTCACCCCCAATATATCTCGAACCTGACATGAACCCTAGGTTTAGATCCTTTGCTCTTGCTTAATTTTTAACAAAAAAAGTGAACAAAGATGTAGTCAGCAAGATTTGTGAGAGGCGTTTATGGAAATTAGAGGTGAAGCGTTGAAGTGTGAGTACAATTTGGGAGAGGAGGAAGGATTAGGTTAAGGGTTTTTATTCTTTAGTTTTATTTTTTATACATATCTAATGTATAAATAATGATACTAAATAAATAAATTATTAAAAAAAAGTTAAGTGCGTAATGGTCTTTTTAAATCCATCAAGGACAAAATACGAAACAAAAACCTACTATAAGGACTGTTGAAGTTAAAATAATAGATTAAAAATCAAACATGCAAATTACTTCTAACCATAAGAATCATTTGTAAAATTTACTCTTCTACAAGGATCCAAATACGAAACAAAAATATATTTTAAAAACCTTGAAAGTTAAAATAATAAATTAGGAACAAATTACTTCAACCAAAGTATAATGATTCTTCTAATTTACTCTATGATAACAAGGGATGACAGTGGCGCAAAAGATTGCCAATGAGTTGGTCAAGATAAATCGGAAATATTATAATTTAATTAGTTCCAGATATACATTCCACGTTACATGAAAGATTGTATGTCGTGTGCCCGTTGACTTTGATATCCGAAAGATTGATCGTTGAATTTAATTTCTATTTTCTGTAGATCTCCATGATTCTATCTTAATGTTTCACATTTCACCTTCTTTTCTTCAAACTTTCAACTTCTAGTATGCTTATTTATCTTATTAACCTAATTTATCAAAAAATATATTCAAAAATATATAATAAATTATACCATTATAAAGATCTTGGCATTACATTTAAAATTACATTAAAACTAAATATTATTAATAACAATTGTTAATCTTTTAAAATCACCTTAATTTTATTGTTAACTTTATATAAACATAAAAAAACAACTAAAAAGTCTAAAAACAAATAAACTAATATTGGAAATTGTCAAACATTTATTAATTGAACGCTAATGAAGTAATGAACGGCTTTTATTTCTTTTTACTTTTTCTTTTAGCTGATTACCTATGTAAATCAATTTTGACCACAAAATATTCACATGTAGAAAAAGAGATGAAAGGTGTGAGGAGATTGCAGAAACCATTCTAGTTAGAAAAAATGTGAAAAGAACGTTTGTATAATTTACATGAAAATCACAAATGTGTTTTTTTGCATATGAGGGAGAGAATATGAGACGAAGGGTGCTCGATAGCTTCGTTGAGTTTTTTGCATGTCGTAAAAAATGTGGTTCTTGGTTGGGTCTACCACATTAAAATGTAATAATATCTCAAACATATAATAAGAAAAATATAAGGTAAAGAAGTATTTTCAGGTTAGATTGGGACCAAAACTGCAATAAATAGTCAAACATGGGGCAAAAGTTGGATTTTTTCAAAAATTGAACCAAACTTAAGATTTTAGGTAAACTAATAGGGACCATTTTTGTAATTTCGTTAATTATAAATAGATTGATTATTGAAAAGGTTTAGACGAACGTATCAAAAACACACCCACACACAACAATGGAGTATCAAACCTTCTTCCTCGTTTTATCATGTCTCTTCCCATTCATCGTCTATGCCTTCACCATTTCCAACCGGCGCAACTCACGATTACCACCGGGACCTAAAGGTTTTCCCATCATCGGAAACGTCTTTGAATTTGGTGACAAACCCCACCAATCTCTTGCCATATTATCTAAACGTTATGGTCCTTTAATGTCACTTAAACTCGGAAGTCGTACAACCATAGTCATTTCATCTCCCGATATCAGCAAAGAATTCTTTCACACACATGATTTATCCTTCTTAAATCGATCAGCTCCTAAGGCTATCCAAGTCGGAGACTTTCATAAGTACTCCATAGTTTGGATGGAGGCTGGAGATCAATGGCGAAAGTTACGAAGAATGACTAACGAATATTTGTTTTGTGTACAACAGCTAGATGCTAGTGAATTCCTACGAAGGGTGAAGGTATAAATAAGATCTCAATGGATTTCTATATCCATCAATGGAACTATTGTTAAAAAAATGAAAGTAATAGCTACGATATATACAAAAAAAAAATTGAAACTTACGTTCTCAAATTTATATATTCTAGGTGCAAGAACTTGTCAACCATGTTAACCAATGTTGTAGAGAAGAAAAGGCTTTGAACATAGGTGAATGTGCGTTCACGACGAGTCTCAACATCCTTTCCAATTTCATGTTTTCTATGGATCTTGCTCAATATGATCCAAAGTCAACACAAGAATTCCAAGACTTAGTATTGCAAGTGATGCAAGCTGGTGCAAAGCCAGGTCTACCCGACCTTTTTCCCATACTTCAGTCGTTGGATCCACTAGAGTTAATATGGCCAGAAAATGTTTATGCCAAGAAAATGGTAAATATTTTCGATAAGATCATCAATGAGAGGTTGAAAACTAGATCGACAACTGTGAGTGATGGTGTTTCAACGGAAAAGAATGATGTTTTAGACTTACTACTCAATCAGAAATCGAATATTACTCAAAATGATATGAGACACTTATTTCTAGTAAGTAAATCCTTTTAATATATATAAAGGAAATTCCCATAATAGTACATGCATCGAGTAATGTTTTGTTTTATATGTAGACACTATTTGTGGCGGGAACGGACACGACATCAAGCACGTTGGAATGGGCGATGGCTGAACTGATGCGTAACCCAGAGAAAATGAAAAAAGCAAGGTTGGAGGTCGATAAAGTCATGCAAAACAACACCAATGGAGTCATACAAGAATCTGATATCTCTCAACTCACTTATCTACAAGCTGTGATAAAGGAAACTCTAAGACTACACCCTCCCGCTCCTTTTCTTATCCCTCGTGAAGCCATACATGATGTTGTTGTTCAAGGCTTTATTGTGCCTAAAAATTCACAAATTTTGTGTAACGTTTGGGCTATGGGAAGAGACCCAAACATATGGTCAGACCCAGAAATGTTCATGCCAGAAAGGTTTTTGGACGTGAAGGTTGATTATAGAGGTCAAGATTTCAAGCTTATTCCTTTTGGTGCAGGAAGGAGGATGTGTCCAGGATTGAATCTTGCAAATAGAATGTTACATATAATATTGGGATCTTTGATTCATAAGTTGGATTGGACGGTTGTGGGAAATAAAAGACCACAAGATATTGATATGGGAGAAAAGTTCGGGATCACATTGCAAAAGGCCGAGCCACTCATTGCTATCCCTATGAAATTGTGATTTTAGTTGTTTTCTTAAATAAAAGCTGAAAAGCATTTGCCATTGTACTTATATTTTATTTGAAAACATCTACTTATTTTTTATATTCTTGTTAGACACAAGTTTAAATGCTTTTGTTTATGGACGTAGACATAATTTTGTTTTAGGGTAAACCATATAATTTTCAAAATATAACAAAATATAACTATATGCTTTATATTTCAAAAAGAAAAAAATTAATAAACGAGTAGCAAAATTCTTCAAACGATAACAAAATATAAGTATATATACATTCTAAATTGAACTGTTTATTTAAGTTACACATAATGTTGTGTTACACCATTAAAATAATTTAAATAAAATCTAATCGACATAAGAAACAAAATTTTCCTCTTCTACTAAATTTTAAGTTTTAAATGGACAGACGATATCAAAACCCTAATTCATTTTATTTAACAGAAATATACATTCTACATAACATATATATGTAAACCCAAATTTCTGTGGGTGGGGCCCACTCTTGCACCTATATAACTACACCCCTTCTTTTGTTTTTTTATTAATGTCAAAAGTATTTTCATTTTTGTTCATGATGGAAACTTCTTCAAGACTATAAGTCTATAAATAATGTTTTAGCAAGACCTGAAAAACTTAACGATTTCAATGCCAAAAACTTTACCAAAACTTTTTACAGAACAAGCAATCAATAGATTGTTTAGAAAATTAAAAAAACCTCTATCAACAAGTAATTGGTAGATTATTTACAAAATCGAGAAAGCTAGCATAAACAAATCATAATGATCGATTGACCAACGATAACATGTACGAAGACATACATAGAAATCCTTAAATCGCAAGAAGCGCTTCCTTCATTGTACTCATCATATTCTAGCACGATCCTTGCACTCTAGCTTCCATCACGAAAGTGCCTCATACGCTTCCACATGTTCTTTGATAATACACTCAGTTTCCCAATTGCCATTAAACTAATCTAAGCATTAAAAAAATAGACTTCGCACAATTTAATAAATTAATACCACCAACTATAAAATCCAATATTAAAATTGTAGTTATGGATATCTCTAATAACTTTATGTAATTAGATAATGTATACCCTCCCTTCTTTAAAGAAAAAAAAGAAAGAAAATCATATATAACTATTGAAATACTATTTGGCATCAAAAGCCTAATTACTTTTTATTCCTTATAAGATAAAAGAAGTATGTAACATTTTCTAAGTAACTGAAGGATGTTAAATTCCTGTTGTTTAAGATTTGATTTTTTTTTAATTTTTTTTTTTGTGTGGCAGATCCCTCACAGATATGTAATATCAACCTTTTTTTTATTTGTATTATGAATTTAAAAACAATGAATACCAAAAACATAAAATAATTATACAATTCCAAACCAAACATTAAGATTTAAATACCAAAAGCATCAAATAAATAAATAATCCAAAACCAAACATTAATATTAAAATACCAAAGTTAAGTATTGATTGATATTTGATTTCAACCTATAATGTACGATAATTCTATATTTCCTCTCATATTTTTCATTTCCGCATAAATCTTCTCCATTGCTTCATATCTTGCATCGGAAAGAAGGATTGGAATGGAATTGGATTCCGATTCCGGTTAAATCCCATTGAATTAGACGAACCAAGTACCGCTTACTTTTTGTTGGAAGCATTTGTTGCAAGCAAAGCCTTTCTGTTGCTGAAAGGAGATTAGTGTCTACTCATTTGAAACCAAATGTTGGACTGGAATGGAATTGAATTCTGATTCCGATCAAATAGTAATTGGTAATACATGTTGGTGAAAGAAAATACCGAGTTTAAGAACTGATGTTCAGAAATTGTCTTCTCTTTTGGGATTTGATTCTTTGAACATTTGTGTTAGGAGCATCTACCACAACAAAATTAACTGTACATTTAGTATTTATAAAAATGGATGTAAGATTTTTATTTAGGAAATATGCTAAGCTACAAATCAAAATTGAAATGTAAAATGTAAGAAGCTTACAGTGTTAATGTGTGCCATTATAACTCATGTACACCTGCATTACAAATAGTGATTAGTTAAGAGCGTTGATGATATTAAAGAAATGACAATATAAATAACTAAATATTATTTTAAATAACTACTACAAATAGGCATCACAATGTCCATTTTAAAACACCTCTTCCTATGTTTGTCATGTGTTTCAATATCAATAGCTTTATTATTGACCTAAAAGTCAAACATGGATCCTACAAAGAAAAGAGGAATAAAGAAGATAAGAGTATTGGAAAAAAAATACATACAACAATAGGTTGAGACATTCTGCAACTCATGATTGCTGATGTTTTGAATTTGAGCCCCTTATTAAATGCCTATGCCCGGTACCAAATTCATTTCAGATCAAATCTAGAAACAAAATATGTATGCTAATTTATATAATCTAGACAGCAGAAATTGGAGTGAATATGATAAGCAATATGAAAAGCCTATGAAAAACAAAATTAAGGAGTTAAGGCAACTTACATCCTACTAGAAGCTAGAATTGGAAGCTGATGACAACTAATTTAGATTTGCTCGAGTTTATGATATGAAGCCGCAAAGGATGAACGAACAAATTGAACGACATTGGCATGGAACGACGAGTCTTCAAGTATAATTCGATCTTCAAAGAGGGGCGATGCAGGTGGATGGTGGTGGAGGAGATTTCTTGGGCGGAGGTGGGATTTGAGTCGACAGAAGGTCGATTAGGGCTTTGGAAGGAAATCATTTAGGGTTTTGGGAAGAAATCGGAGGGAATGAGAAGAAAACAAGGGAACGAAAAAGAAAAGCAGGAATGAAAATAAAACGAGGGAAGGAAAGAATAAAGAAAAGCGGATGATGAAAAAAGGAGGTGTCTGATCCTCTGTGAGCGATTGGCGAGGGCAAAGAAAAAAAGGCCTGTGATTTTTAGAAATCCATCGTTGTTCCCTCTCTAAAAGGTTTTAATTTCTAACGGATTAGCGAAGAATCGTTTTTATCGATAAAATATTACCATTCCGTCGCTGATCCCTCAGTGATACCTCTTTGAACTTCTTTATAAGTATTTTGGTCGATATGTTTATGTTTTTCATCGTTGATCTCTCAATTAGCCGTCACTGATTAGCTACAGAATGAATCTGTAGCTGATTCCGTCACTGAAGTTAAAGTTTCTAGTAGTGATTTTCCTATCATATATTTAGGACATACTTTTATGATAATGTTTCGATTAAAACAACTAAATACTTGAATTAAACACCACTTATGTCATGTTATAAACATGCATACTATGTCTCTTTATGGTCTTTCCTTCATGAACAAATCAACTAGACATGATTCCAATGATGCTCATTTCACAATTCTAAATCCTTATTATAAGTGTAAGAATTCCAAATTCTTATCACTACTAAATGTCATAGAGTCTAACCTGACGTGGCATCAAAATCACCAAGGCTTAGCCAACGATGTCACAAAATGCTTTATCGAAACTTTGTTACTGAAAACAATTTTATGGTAATGAAATATCAAATTCAAGGTAACTACTTGAACACCTTCCTTGCATTAATGTTTCTAACTCACATGTAGATTTCAATAACCAACTCCCACTATGAAAACACTTTCATATTCCCATATGACCATCAATTCTAAACAAGAATCACCCCCACTCAGAATTATGTCACTATGGCCCGTCCAAATACTACTATACTTCCAACTATTCACACGTAACCAATCTTTTGGTAAACCTTATACTTTTCTTAATAGTTGTCTAACAACTTTAATCACATCATGTTCTATCCCTTTTCCCTCTTAATGCCCTAGGCATTTTGGAACAATCAGAACAACTGAATATTATAACATATGTAATTGATCCTTTACCTGAAGAATATAGGACTCAATTAATAATGTCTTACATAAAGACCCGATATCTTATCAGTCTCTTGCTATAATAGTTCCATATATCAAATTTCCTATGTTGAATCATTTCAACACGGTATTCATATATGTCCAAGACTAAGTTTTATTAAAACTCTATTTAATACTTTTAGGTTTGAAATGAAATATAAGTGCCCTATCCCTTAAAACATTTTATAGCGAAACAATTTTCAAACTTTGCAACTTGCAAATTCGTAACCTTTGTTTCCTACAAATAGTATTGCTAACTTGTGACACTTAGCAGAACAATTATGCTCCCTCTAACATAACAATTATACTCTTGTTAGCATAACAATTATGCTCCCACTAGCTTAGACATGTACCTAGAAATCAACTGCACTTCCAAAAACCAATACTATTGACTTTCTTACTAAAGTACAGATTTCTGATACGTGATGTTTTGATAAATCTTCATATAAACTTCTCAAGCTCATACACCTTCATAAGATATCATATGTTTGTGTTAAACCCTTTCAGAATTTATAGATATAAGTCCTGAACGTCCAAACTATTTCTTGCCATTTCTTACAATTCGAACTATGAAAATGGATATCGTAATCATATACGAATTTGAGAATGCAATTATCACAAATGCAAACAATAACGATATTAAGCATCTTTAAAATCTACTAGCGAAAGTGTTTCCTTATAATCGTTTTCATGAATTAGAGCGAAACCTTTTGCCACCTAGATTTTATGGTGTATGTGTTCTCATCCATGTGAATCTTATCATTTCAACCTATAATCATAAGATAATGTTGATGAAAAAACTAAAATCAATTTTAAGTTTCCTTTCATGCACTGAACATTTGCTTACTCTTAATTTATTGCATTCTGGTAGCATATGGGCCTACCAATGCTTCCATGTTGTTAAGCAGCTTACCCATATTAACTAATGCACTATTACTACCCAATGTGCTCTACCTTTTACAATCAAATGAGAATGATAGGACTCATAAGTATTGTCAACTCACCTAGAAGATGCATAGAAATAAGATTTTGTCAACTTAACACAATATGTTATCAACATTAGGTCGTGTGCTAGTGATAAGTAAAAGGTTTATTCTTAATTGACTCATGAAACTTTTCCAATATCAATAAGACTCCCTCTAAATTCTTGACATATAAGTTTCTTTCTTCAAGGAACATTCATTGACGAACTGAAACATATATTCAAAAGTTAGTTTGGATTATTGTCAAAAAACACTTCATTAAATTGGTCTTAGTTTATCTCTGTTTCAAT